GGGGGGGCAGAGAAGCAGGAGCCCCCCCCGAGAGGCCTGAGGGGGATTAGGGGGGCGTGTGCAGAGCCGGGCAACGAGGGACCCGGTGGTGGGGAGGGCGGTCCGGGCCACCCTCCGCCAGGGCCCGGCTCCTACCTGCGTCTGCCCCGCCATGGCGCCCGGGAGGAGGCGGGGGGCCTGCTCCCCGCCGGGCCGCCGCTCGGGGCCTCAGAGCGGCGCTTCCGGTGCGCCAGCCACCCACAAGGCTCCGTGCCGGAAGTAGGCCGCGTGACGTACGCCTTCCCCTCCCCCCCCCCGGCACAAACGGCGCGGGCCGCTTCTCCCGCCGTCACTCCCCCACGCGCTTCCGGCCGGAGCCACGCCTCTTCCGGGAAAAGAAAAGGTGGCCGCTGCCGACCGGAAAGTGCGGTCGAGTGCCCACGTGACCCGCCCCAGCTTCCCAAAGGGGCGGGGCCGGGCCGCGCTCGGCCGGATGAGCGCGGTGATGGCGGCGCCGCCATTTTGAGCGCTGCGCCTGCCTCGCCCCTCACGTGATTGGCAGCGGCGCCACCATTGGTCTGTCGGGGCGGCTTCCGGTGCGGCCTCCTCGGCTTGTGTGCCCGCCCCGCTCAGAGGCCCGGTGGGATTTACCTCGTTGCTTATTATTTAGTAATCATGGTCTACAGTAATTATTGCTAATTATTTCTTTATGGTGAACACCCTCAGAACGTTTGCGGATGACACCGAGCTGGGTGGGAGTGTTGATCTGCCAGAGGGTAGGAAGGCTCTACAGAGGGATCTGGACAGGCTGGATCGATGGGCCGAGGCCAATTGTATGAGGTTCAACAAGGCTCAGCGTCGGGTCCTGCACTTGGGTCACAGCAACACCATGCAGCGCTACAGGCTTGGGGAAGAGTGGCTGAAAAGCTGCCGAGCAGAGAAAGACCTGGGGGTGGTGGTTGACAGCCGGCTGAATATGAGCCAGCAGTGTGCCCAGGTGGCCAAGAAGGCCAACAGCGTCCTGGCCTGTATCAGAAATAGCGTGGCCAGCAGGAGCAGGGCAGTGATCGTCCCCCTGTACTCAGCACTGGTGAGGCCGCACCTTGAGTACTGTGTTCAGTTTTGGCCCCTCACTGCAGGAAAGACATTGGGGTGCTGGAGCGTGTCCAGAGAAGGGCAACAAAGCTGGTGAAGGGTCTAGAGAACAAGTCTTATGAGGGGCAGCTGGGGGAACTGGGGTTGTTTTGCCTCCAGGCTCAGGAAGGCAGGCACAGCTCCCAAGCACAACCCCTGCATGCAACAGGATCCCGGCAAGGCCAGGGAGGTGTGGGGGCTCACCTTGCCCCACCACTAGTGCCTGCTGAGCCATGGTGATGCTTTCACCTTAAGAAACCTCACTGATGGGGGGTCTCCACCCATAATCACAGAATCACAGAACCATTGAGGTTGGAAAAGACTGCTAGTCCAACCATTAACCTAACACTGCCAGATCCACCACTAAACCATGTCCCTAAGTGCCATGTCTACACGTCTTTTAAATATACCCCCAGGGATGGTGACTCAACCCCTTCCCTGGGCAGCCTGTTTCAGTGCTTGACAGCCCTTTCAGTGAAGAATTTTTTCCTAATCTCCAAACTAAACCTCCCCTGGCACAACTTGAGGCTGTTTCCTCTAGTCCCATCACTTGTTACTTGGGAAAAGAGACCGATCCCCACCTTGCTACAACCTCCTTTCAGCTAGCTGTAGAGGGCGATAAGGTCTCCCCTCAGCCTCCTCTTCTCCAGGCTAAACAACCCCGGTTCCCTCAGCCACTCTCTACATGAACACAGAACTCTTTGCCTCCTCCTCCTCCTTCACTAGGTTTTCCAGTTAATTTTCAGGTGAAGTTTACATAGGTTGCAGAGATATCTCAGTGTGAGGATGGTTTTGCAGCATCCACTGGTTACACAGGGGCAGTGGAAAGGATCCAGTCGCCCTCCTATTCCCTCTGCTCTGGGAATTGGGCCATGTTCTCTGCTTATGCCTTATTGACAGCTCTGTCTGTGCCGTAGCCCCTGCTGCACAGCAACTCTTTATCCCTGTCACAGCAGGACCATGACTGGGTGCCGGTGGCAGGGGACTGGAGCATCCCCGCAGTGCCAAGCTCCATCCCTAGTTCCACGGGGGATGGTGTTTAATGGCTACACCCTCTTCTTTCCATCTGCGCCCCACTCGGCCCCTTCCTTGGGTCCCCTAATACACAATTGCCACCAGCTCAGCCTTCAGGGAGCAGCCACTAGATGGACCTCAGGATTCAGTGTTTTCACACGGGAAATGAGAGCGTTTTCGAGTGCCCAGCATTACCGGAGGTGCAGCTACTTCATGAATAGCCTTTATATTCTGGTGTGTGGACGCCCAACCTGGCAACTTTGAAGGCAAAACTTGTTCTAGTAAAAGCCTCTTCAGTCCTTTGAGCCAGGAAAATTGGCAGCCCTGCTCTTGTGTGGAGGAGGAAGACAGAGCTGATGTGTTGGCTGTGGGCACAGAGCAGTGGGGACAAGAAGTACCCAACTAAAAACGCATCCCATAGGGAGGAGGTGATATTTTTCCATACTTTCCCATTTCTGTGATTATTGTGCAGTTTCTGCTGTTAGAGAGCAGAACTGGCTCCTCAGTGACAGCCGATACAAGGCTGTTTGTTCAGCACAGCTGATTTGCAATTCAGAGAAATCTCTTCCCACACACATTCTCTCTAACATGCCCTGCCACACTTCACAGGCAATGGTTAAATTCCAGCCATTGTATCTGGAGAAGAAACCATAACCATCAGAAGCTGCAACATTGAAACTCCAGGACAAAATGCACAGGTGCCTTTGGTAAATTGTTTTAAATTCTGCTGCTATTATTCCAGGGGAAAAAAACCAAAAAAGGTTGTAATACCTGCTTTTAGGGTGTGGGTTATGATTTCCATGAACAAGGCTTGGGCAATGTTTCTTTCCAAATGAGAACTGAAAGTCAATAAAGATGGAAATTTTAATTGCATTTCCATAATGGTAGTTTAACAAACTTCAAGTTTGTCTGTACTGGTAGTACACACCAGGTCATTACAGGAACATCAACTTCTCGTGGTTATCTGCACCCTACAAATATCTGGGGCAAAAGAATGTGTTGTGGTTTAACCCCAGCCAGCAACTAAGCACCACACAGCTGCTCACTCACTCCCCCCCGCCCCGCATTGGGATGGAGGAGAGAATCCGGGAAAAAAAGAGTAAAACTCGTTGGCTGAGATAAGAACAGTTTAATAGAACAGAAAGAAAGAAAATAATATTGATAACAGTAACAATAATAAAATGACAATAATAATAATAAAAAAAGAATTGGAACATACAAAACAAGTGACGCACAATGCAATTGCTCACCACTCACTGACTGATGCCCAGTTAGTTCCCAAGCAGTGATCCCCCTCCCCCCGGCCAAATCCCCCCAGTTTATACCCTGGCAATGATGTTACATGGTATGCAATACCCCTTTGGCCAGTTGGGGTCAGCTGTCCTGCCTGTGTCCCATCCCAACTCCTTGTGCCCCTCCAGCCTCCCTGCTGGCTGGGCACAAGAAGCTGAAAAATCCTTGACTTAGACTAAACACTACTTAGCGACTACTGAAAGCATCAGTGTGTTATCAACATTCTTCTCATACTGAATCCAAAACATAGCACTATACCAGCTACTAAGAAGACAATTAACTCTATCCCAGCCAAAACCAGGACAAAACGAAAAAGCAGTTCTCTGTCCTGCTTGAATGTTTTTAGAAGGAAATTAATTTATTTTAACTCCAATGTACTTTCTAAAGCTATTTCCCTCTAAATTTGTCATATAAGTCTTCCACATACTTTCTGATTATTTAAGCCATTTTTAATTCTTTGTTTTGCAGAAAGAAAATTGGAATAGAATAGAAATAGAATAGTTCTGTTGGAAGGGACCTACAAAGATCATCTAGTCCAACTGCCTGACCACTTCAGGGCTGACCATATCTTTCAGGGTTTAGAAATGCAATACTTGTCCCAGTTTTTTGTTTTAATTATGGTTTGTTCTGTCTGTTAGTTTTATGATGGCATTTCCCAGTTGTGACAAGGGCTGTAACTGGTTCCATATACAACTGTTTTTCACTGTGATGCTGAGCCCTGGGAGGCTCAGGCGGCGGAGGGCAATCAGTCCCTGCTCCCCAGGGAGCAGAGGAGTTTCAGCCCTGTGAACTCCAGGGGGACTGCCCGGGGGGGGGGGGGGTGTGTGTGTTCTGGGCCACAGCAGAGGAAGGGCATCCCCCCTCTCAGAAGACCTGGGCAATGTGGGCTGTTTAGGGAGGGTGGGCCGCGGGTGAGGAGGGGGAGCTGCCCTTTGTGCAAAAGCCAAGGTTATCTGTGCTTCCTTTCGCCTGCCCTGAGCTTCGTTATCTGCAATGCCCAGAGCTCACTGCATCCACGGAAAAAGCCGGTTCATGGGACCTTTGGTAGAAGGCTCACACCCTGGGCTGCTTTCCTGCTGAGCCACTGGGCTGGACTTTCCCTGTGTGGTGGGTTGACTCTGGCTAGACACCAGGTGCCCACCAAAGCTGCTCTATCACTACCCTCCTCAGCTAGACAGGGGAGAGAAAATATAACGAAAGGCTTGTGGGTCGAGATAAGGACAGGGAGAGATCACTCACTAATTACAGTCACAGGCAAAACAGACTCGACTTCGGGAAAATTAATTTAATTTATTACCAATCAAATCAGAGCAGGGTAATGAGAAATAAAACCAAATCTTAAAACACCTTCCCCCCACCCCTCCCTTCTTCCCAGGCACAGCTTCACTCCCGAATTCTCTACCTCCTCCCCACAGCAGCGCAGGGGGGGTGGGGAATGGGGGTTGGGGTCAGTTCATCAGACCTTGTCTCTGCCGCTCCTTCCTCCTCAGGGGCAGGACTCCACATTCTTCCCCTGCTCCAGTGTGGGGTCCCTCCCATGGGAGACAGTCCTTCATGAACTTCTCCAGCGTGGGTCCTTCCCATGTGCTGGAGTTCTTCACAAACTGCTGCAGCATGGGTCCCCCGCAGGGTCACAAGTCCTGCCAGGAGCCTGCTCCAGCGTGGTCTTCCCACGGGGTCACAGCCTCCCTCAGGCATCCCCCTGCTCCGGCATGGGGTCCTCCCTGGGCTGCAGGTGGATATCTGCTCCCCCATGGACCTCCATGGACTGCAGGGGGACAGCCTGCCTCACCATGGTCTTCTCCATGGGCTGCAGGGGAATCTCTGCTCTGGCACCTGGAGCACCTCCTCCCCCTCCTTCTTCACTGACCTGGGGTTCTGCAGGGTTGTTTCTCTTACATGTTCTCACTCCTCTCTCCGGCTGCAGTTTCTGTCCCACAGCAACTTTTCCCCCTTCTTAAATCTGTTATCCCAGAGGCGCTACCACTGTTGCTGATGGGCTTGGCCTTGGCCAGCAGCAGGTCCATCTTAGAGCTGGCTGGCATTGGCTCCATGGGACATGGGGGAAGCTTCTAGCAGCTTCTCACAGAAGCCACCCCTGTAGCCCCCCTGCTACTGAAACCTTGTCATGCAAACCCAATATACCCTGGCTCAAGAGGCATCTCCAGCACGAGCATCAGGCAGCTCCAGTGCTGTTCCTGGAGCCACTGCAGGCAGTGGCCCCAGCCATGGCCCCGCACAGACCCATCACTTTCCCACTCTGCAGCAGATCCCTGTGGAAGGACCCCCTCTTTTACCCTGGTGCTTTGCTGATGCTCTGAGCTCTGTGGAGCCTTTTGCTGACCTTCAAGGCATCTGCGGCTGTGACGAGTTGCTGTAATGAAACTGCATTGCACGGGAAATCCAGATGAGCTGGCCTGGACCTGGGAGGAGTTTGCTGTCATCTCCCATGCTCATATCCCTAGGACCAGCACTGCAGGACAGAGCTGAAAGCCCCAAGACAGCAGGGAGACACCCCAGTGCCACAGGCATTGATGGAAAGGCCCTGCCAGACTGCCCAGACTGTCTGCGTGGGTCTTCCCTCATCTCTATTTTCACTGACCTGGGGAGGAAAACAAAATGTCCCCTGCCTGGCTGACTCCAGCTGCAGCTCCCTGATGGACACCAGTGGCAGGAGGAGGGTGACAGGTCCCAACACCGTGCCCTGGGGCAGGCACCGCTTTGGTCTGTGGAACAGGACAGGTCCCACAGCCGCCCTCGCACACCTGGCCCGGCAGAGAAGGTCTTTTGCCATTTCTCCTCTTCCTTCCAAACCAGCCTTTGTGTCTCCATCACACATGACAAGCAAGCATTCGGTGGCGTCTCCAAGAGCAGTGGCAGCAGCAACTGCATGCACAGCAGTAAATCAGGGTGCCTGGGGCTGCACATGGCACTGCGGTGGGATGGTGCCAGGCCAGGCATGGCGGGTTTGAAGTATTTTAGTTTATAATCTCCCTCGGAAATATGTGGTCATTACATGAGGACTCCTGGGGCTGGAGAGTGGCATGTGTCCATGGAGCAGAGAGCTCTGTGTGCCAGATGGATGTGGACACGCTGGAGCGGGTCCAACAAAGACAACTGGGACATTGAAACATCTGACAGATGGGGAGAGGCTGGGAGAGTTGGGACCATTCAGTCTGGAGAAGAGGATGTTGAGGGGGAATCCTCTCCTCACCTGATGGAGACCAAGTGGTGTCCGGTGCCAGGACGAGAGGTGATGGGCACAGACAGAAATGTGAAATTCCATTTAAACTTCAGGAAACTTTTTCACTGTGAGTGTGACTGAGCACTGGCACAGGCTGCCCGGAAAGGTGGTGGAGTCTCCATCCTTAGAGGTGTCCAAAACCCAACTGGACATGGTCCTGGGCAACCAGCTCTGGGGGGGGACCCTGCTTGAGCAGGGCTTGGACTAGATGATCTCCAAAGGTCCCTGCCAGCCTTGATGTTCCTGTGACTCTGTGATTCATCGCTACCACAAAATAAGGAAATCAGGAAAAATAAGGAAAATCAGGGAAAACAGAGGAAGAACAAGGAGAATTATCCCACAACCCACAATTATCCTGCATGGCATAGCTCTGGACCACTCCCTCATTTTCCTCTCTGCTTTGTACCTCCCCATGTGATACTCCACTTTCTCTTCCATTAAACTGGCCTCCAGGTACACGTTGTTGCTCTACCACTCACCCCCATTCTCCTGCACCACGTGGCAGACCATCCCCATCAGCTTGGTGACCTGCTGGTCCTGTTCAGCACCAACTGCTCTGTTGTTGAAGCCGCAGTACCTGCTCCCACAGCGCAGGATCAGGTCCTGGAGCGCTCCGTTGCTGCAATACTGCAGGTAATTGTGCAGCGACCTCCCTGCCAGGTCTTCTGCATGAGTAACATGATCATGTACTTCAAAACATCAACTCCAAAAATGTCCTGCAGTCTCTGTACAGCCTCCTTGTCCTCCTTGATGGATTGGCCCAGATTGGTTCCCAGCAGCAGCACATGGGGGCCTGGGGAGGACAGCCTGATGCAATGAGTAATTTCTTTGTACACCTCACAGATGGCAGCCTTTGGATCAAAAATATCAGCTGTGTCAGTGACCGTGATGTCCTCACCATCGCAGCACCCTTGTGCTTGCACACAGCTAACTATCACCAGCTCGGTCGCAAACTTGAACAGGCATTCTCCGAGGAGGGTGTTGCTGGTGGCACTTTTCCCTGCCCCACTCTTCCCAACCAGGAGGAGCCTCATCCCCAAGCCCCTGCCTTCCCTGGGCAGCATGGGAATGAGAGCACGCTGGATGGCCACAGCCACGCTGCACGGACAAAAGCAGACATACACAACTCCTGTTAGCACCACCGTGCTGCCTGTGCCAGGTCCCTGGGGTGTCCGCATGGGCTGTCCCCCCAGGAGACCATCCTTGGGGCTGCCTGGGGGGCTGGGGACACCAGTAACATCCTCCAGACACCTTTGAAGTGCTCTCTCGCACAGCCTGGCCTCCCGCTCAGGTCTTCCTGCCTGCAAAACAGGCACTGCACCAGGTTTGTGCAGGCAGGAGTTCAGCAGGGACAAACCAGCTCCCTCCCTGCACGGCTCTTCTGGCTGCCCGGGCATGCCTGGACTCCCTTCCTCCCCTCAAAAAAACCTTCCAGCTAGCATAAAACCTCACACATCTCCCTCCCCTGCCCCTCGAGCCTGGTACCTTCATGATGCCTGGCTGGAGCCAGTGCCAAGGCAAGAGTTCCCCCCTGCAGCCGCAGAGCTCGTCCCTTCTCCTGGTGCCTCTCTGCTAGTGCACAGAATGAGGCCGGACGGGGTCTTGTTCTGCCCATGGCAGCAAGGCTTGGCCCAGGGCTCAGGCTCCTTCCTGGGCGAGCAGGCGGAGAGCTGGGGGGTGGCAGAGACCATGTCCCCTTGGAGACTCTCAGAGCCACCGGGAATTGCTCGTGCACAGAGCGGCAGCAGCAATGGCAGTGGCCGCCTGTGGCAAAGTCTTTATGCTGCAGCTGGGGCAGCATGCAGACCCTTCGCAGCACCGGCCTCTCCCCACGGCATGAGGCTATGGGGTGTTGAAATGCTGCCTGTGCTGTGGGAAGATGGGCCCTAAAAAGGCATAGCTGGAGTGCACAGCAGACGGGGGGAAGACTCACCAGAGTCCCCCCCTTCCTGCCTGCCCCTCGCCTCACCCCATATTGCGACCCCGCACTGACCACAAACCTCCCACCCGCGGCCGCACATCTGACATTTACAATTAGAAGCAGAAGCTGCAGGGTGGGCAGGACTGGTGTGCCCTGGAGTCCTGGGTCACTCCTGGTACCTCTGCATGCTGGCGTCGGTGCCTGTGCAGCGCTCCTGGTACTTTTGCATGCCACCATTGGTGCCTGTGCCATACTCCCAGTGCCACAGCAAGTGCCAGCCCCAGCTACAGGCTGCAGCAGTTCCTGGGCGCAGCCCAGGCTAGCTGAGGCCACCACAGCCCTGCTGTCCTTGGAGCCATACCCCAAGGGGTGGGCTGCTCTGGGATGATGCCCTGAAGAAGGGATGCTCTGTGCAGTGTGCCCTGGTGCCCACAGGGGTGGGAGTGGACGGGGGGCACTTTGCTACGGGAGCACTTTGGGTGAGTGGAAAGCAGGATGGGTGAAAACAGGAGCCTGTGATGGTGCTCCCACGGGGCTGCCCTGCGAGAGCTTCTCTGGCACGAGTCCCCCATGGAACGGGGGGTCCTGCATGTCCCTGGCGGTCAAGCGGTGCTGCTGTGGGGCCGGGGTGTGCCACTCCAGCACGGCTCTGCCAGGCAGCCACCGCATGCCAGCTGGCTCACAGCCTGACGTCTCCCCAAGGGACCCATTTCCCACTGTGGAGGATACATGCTCGGCCTCGGGCACCGCTGGGGGCTCTGGGTGCCACCTCCGTTTGTGGGGTCTCACATGTCCTGGACCCCCCCCCCCTCCGGGTGCTCCCAGCCACCTGTGGCTCCACTGGCCTGGCAGGGTGTGGGTGCCGCAGCCAGGTGCAGCAAAAGCACCAAACCACACCGAAACAGGGAAGAGTCCAAGTTTCAGCTTCTGTTACTGGAAATTAAGGGGGTGGGAAGGAGAAAGCGAGACGTTGCCCATGCACGGGATCCCAGTGTGGCCGTGCCGGGGCAGTGACGTCCTGCTAGTGGGGCAGGTGTCCTGTCCTGTGACACCGGGGTTTCCCCTGAAGCCTCCCTGGGGTCTCAGATGTTTGTGACTTCTGCTGCCAGGCACTGTTGCCCCATTCCCATCCACGCAGGCATGGCCAAGGATCCAGCAACTCCAGAGATCAAGGGCCACACGGTCCCAGAGAACCAGAGATCCCAGAGACTTCAGGAACCCCAGGACACGGGGCTGCCCCTGACACATGTGCACAACCTGGGGTGTGTGGGGGCCCTGCTCCACTGGTGATTTTTTCCCCACTGGCAGTGTGAGTGCTCTGCACAGGGAGCTGCGTGAGGGTGGGCATTGCGCAAAGGGGAACCACTGATGTAAAACCAGCAAGGGTGGCAGGGCAGAGTCCAGCAGCGACAAGGGACAGGACAGGGACAGGAGACGCTGGGCTGGGGCCGTACCAGGATGGCGACCGTGCTGCCTGGGTTTGTGGGGCAGAGACAACCATAAGGCACTGGGATGTGATGGAAGGGAAGCCTTGTGCCCACCACAGCCCACATGTCAGGAGCAGAACTTCAGCCACGCTCCCCACACTGGCAGCAAACGCTCCATGCCGGCCATGTAAGCCACTCCAGGAACCTGCTCCGGCACATTATCGTCAAAATGCCAGCGATGAACGGTGCTCTGGCAGCGCCAAGAACAAGGTTTTCTTGGGTGCTTGGCAGCACCTGGGGCAGGGTGCTTGGGGGCTGGCAGTGATGGCCAAGCTCATGGCACAGCTCAGGCTCACCACACTGGCCAGCATGCCTGGTCTGAGCCCGTGTAGTGGTCCCCAAGCTCATGTAGAGCTTGCATTGGGGTTTTCTTTGCTCCTGGCCACTGCTTGTCCCAGTTATGTGCAGCACATGCTCCACTGATCCCCGGTGCAGGATCCATCCGAGCCCCACAGCAGCGACAGCCGCTGAGCCGGGCAAGGAGAGCCTAGGGTGGGCGCCTGTGAGGGGCTTGCTGTAGAGGGTGAGCCGGGGTCTCGCTCCACCACTGTCCCACCAGCATGTGGATTCTTTGGCAACCTGGAGAGCATAGAAAAGTGAGTGGGAGACAGGAGCAAACTCCGCTGCAGCTGGCACAATGCTCAAACGCCCACTCATGAGAGAGAAACCCCCCCAAGCCGTGCTGGAGAGGAAGGAGCCATGTGGAGCCGGTGCCTTGCAGAGCAAGGCCATGTGGCCGTGGCCCGTTGCTTGCCAGCAGCATGGAGCTGGTCATGCCGGTGTCCGAGCAGCTCCGTCCTCGGCAAGGGGTGGCCTTGATGTGCCCTCGCAGCTGCTGCGGCTGTTCCCCAGGCCCCCAGCCCCAGCAGAGCACCCCCCCCGACGTGCAACACCCAGAGCCTTCACTTAAACACGGTTCCTGGCTTGACTGCACATTGTGAACCACAAATATGGAATGTAACTTGGGGTTTTTTGCTAAATACGTGTTCTCATGTTTGCACTTGCTCTCCAGGAGACCCTGGCTGGGTAAGAGCACCAGCAGGAAGGCTGGGATGGCTCCCCCAGCTCTGCCCTGCATGCCCAGCCTGGAGACAGGCTGACCCAGGGAGTGCGGGGACCCAGCAGGCCTCCCCATGCTCCACAAGCTTCCAGCGAGAGGGAGACGCGGGATATTCCAGGCTTTAATTCATTTAATGATACACATCAAAGTACCTGCATTTCCACACAGCAGCGGCAAAGGAAGCGACGGGGGGACGGGGCAGCGCGGGGGGTCCCTGTGCAGGCACCCGCATGGGGCTTCGCTTCTCGTCCGGAGCCGAGGGGAAGCTTGCGGGCAGCGCGGCGCTGGCCAGCAACCCGCAGCCGCTGGAGCCGAGCCCGGCTGGCAGCCCATGCCGAGACGGCCCTGTGCAGAGTGACAAGTTTGGGGGAAAAACATCCCTGGGTTTCGAAAATGCATTTCTGCTGCTCCGGCTTGTTGTTGCCCACATGGAGCATCCTGCCTGGGGATGGGCAGCGCTGCCAATGCTGCTGCCTGTGTGGGGCGAAGGCCAGAGTGTCGCAAAGTGCCACATGTCCCTCTTGCAGGGACGCTCACCCTGGACACTTGTCCTGGAGCCTGTGGCTGGCCCAGGGCATCACACAAGGGGTGACACGAGGATGCGGGAGGGGGTCTGCAGGAGGGAGCCCTGGCCCAGGTCCCTCAGGATTCGGCAGCAACTGGGACATCGCTGACACCGGGAGCCAGGACCGTGCCATGCGCTGGTCCCTGCCTGCAGCCGCACATGCCCAGCGTGGCAGAGAAGGGTGGTATTCCCATCCCAGCTGTGGCTCACCTCTCCCAGCCAGGCTCTGGCTCTCCACCGCGGTTCGGTGTCAGCATGTCTCCGGACCGGAGCCTTCCCACCCATCAGGCACTCGTGGTCCTCCCCGCCGCCCCAACCCCGCACCTTCCTGGCCAGGTGCTCCCCGCTGCCTCCGGGTCGTCCTTCAGCTCCTTGCTGCTGGCACCGCACCAGGACCTCTGCGCTGCCTGGGCCGGGAGTCTCTGCCTTGCCGCAGCGGGGTGCAGCCCCCCGCCTCACCGCAGTCACTCCTCCGTGCTGGAGCTGCTGCCGGTGGGGAAGCAGTCTCCACCCTCGAGCTTTGTGTTTTATTTTATTTTTATTTCGCATGATTTCTGCACCACTGGGGGCTCTCCGCGCAGCCGGGGCAAGCCGCTGCCTCCTCCTCTTCATGTTCCTCTCCCCAGTGGGGCCCACGGCAGCGTGGTGGTGCGGCTCCTTCCCTGTGAAAGGCGGTGTGCGGCCGGCGGCTGGTGGCTGCTGAGATCCGGCTCCGCTCTGGCAGTCGCAGCCGTCATTCCCTGGGCGAGCAAGCACAGCAGAAGTTACCCCACGCCAGCACCCGGCACACAGGCCATGCTGGGTGGTGAACGGGTTCACGGCACCGGACCACAGCCACACCAGCCAAGGCAGGGCAGGGGGACGTGTGAGGATGCCTTGGGGAAAACTCCCTCCTCCTCCTCCTCCATGGTCTCTCGCCCTGGCCTGGGGGCTTTAAGCTGCAGCATGAGGCTGTGCGGCTGCGGTGCCGGGCGAGGGGGAGGAAGGGCTCCCAGGGAACCACGCGGACTGTGCGAGGCTCCTCCTGGCGTGGGGGACGGGAGGGCCCAAGGCTTCTGGTGCTGGTAGGACCAGCCTCGTGACCATCAGGAGAAAAACCCCAGCAGAAGGATGAGGGGCAGGAAGCGGGTGAGGAGCACAGCCAGAGGGGTTCCCAGGCCAAGCCAGGCTGCTGGCACCCCGTCATTCTGGGCATGGCTGAATGTGTGGCCAGGCTGGGCTGTGCGCCCCAAGCAGGCGTGACGGTGGCTCCCTGTGCCATGCCGACAGGGCTGTCCCGTGCCCCAAAACCCTGGGGAAGCGTCCAGTGACCCCCAACTCCCCTGGGACAGAATTTTCCATTGCAGGAGGGAGTGTGAGCGGGGCACCAGGTGCTCCTGCAGCACCCTGGGGGGAAACCGGCTGGGGGGGGACACAGGAGGAGAACCCCGGCGGGGCAGCCCCAAAGGCGGGGGGGGCACAGGCACTGCTGGGACCTGTGGTTGGAGGAAGGCCGGCATGGGCAGGGGGTGCTGAGGCGGGGAGGGGGGGGCTCACGTGAGGGCGGTCTCGGCCCCGTGGGTGCGCTGGTGCGCGGTGAGGTTGACCTTCTGGGCGAAGCTCTCGCCGCACTGGGCGCAGGCGAAGGGGGTCTCGCCGGCGTGGGTGCGCCGGTGGATCTTCAGGGAGCCCTTTTGGCTGAAGGTCTTGCCGCAGTCGGGGCAGGCGAAGGGCCGCTCCCCGCCGTGGCTGCGCTGGTGGGCAGCCAGGCTGCTCCTGCAGCTGAAGCCCTTCCCGCACTGGGCGCAGGCGAAGGGGCCGCCAGCTGCCTCAGGCAGCTCTGGCGAGCGGCTGCCGCCGGGCTGGACCTCAGCGGCAGTGCCGGGCCGGTCCTCGGCGTGGGTGCGCTGGTGGTTGAGGAGGAAGCGCTGCTCGCGGAAGCGCTTCCCGCAGCGCTGGCAGGAGAAGGGCTTCTCGCCGCTGTGGATGCGCTGGTGGGTGAGCAGGTTCTGCTTGAGGCTGAAGCTCTTCTGGCAGACGCCGCACTGGTAGGGACGCTCCCCGGTGTGGATGCGTTGGTGGATGATGAGGTTGTGCTTGAGGCTGAAGGCTTTGCCGCACTCGGCGCAGATGAAGGTGCGTTCCCCGGCGTGGTGCTTCTGGTGCCGGGCGAGGCTGGGCTGCTGGCCGAAGCATTCCCCGCAGAGGATGCACTTGAACTCCTTCTCCGCCTCCTCCTCCGCCTGGCTGTGGATCACCAGCGCCTTCTCATCCCCCAGGCCCTCCTCGCCGCCCGGGAAGGCGAAGGGGTTCTCGCCCGCGGGCGAAGCCAGGTCCGTCATGGGCGCCCGCTGCCCGGCTCACGGCACCCACATCCCTGGGGAGCGCAGACAGGGAGGGCTGCAGCTCCCGGCACCAGCACCCGGCACCTCTGGGAACCGGTCGGACCGGGCTGTGCCGGGGCTGCCAGCACCCGCCGAACCCCTCGGGTGCTCCCCCCGCCAAACACCCACTGCCCCCCCTCCCCCCCGTGCCCCGGTAAGGGGGTTGTGGCATCTCATGGCCCTGGGCCGGTTGGGTGGGCGGCTGTCCC